ACCAAAGAGATTAATAATATCTCACACATCAGTTTTAAATGCTCGAACTCAAATTAACGTCCCGGAGGCCAATTTGTTAATATTATATTTGATAAATTCTTGGCACTACTGAAGTATGATGATATTTGATTCTAATATAAAAATTTTCAAACGAAAATTAAGCAATTATCAAAGATGATCTCATTTAGGAGGCATATACTTTTGACGAGTATTTAAACAACGAATTATAAAACCCCAAAAGAAGTTTAGGTACATGATATGTTGAAAATTGAGATATTTCAATAAGTTATATTATTATAAAAACGAATAGAGTTGAAAAAGAAAAAAGTTGTCGACAACACTTTTGTACATGATGTACTCCATCATATATGAATAGCGAGGAATCGAAATAAATTCGTCGAGATATATCGATTGAAGAAATAATTGACCAAATAAATGGACGCAATCCTAGTAAATTGAATTTAACAATCAGAAAATCTAAAGGTATATATTTATGCGAAAATGAATGAGAAAAACGAAGTCGTAATATGTAACACACGATTCTCAATATAGTGAATTTCGTAAAGATTGTGATGGATAATATCACGAGTACATATCATGTTATATTGAATATGCATGAAATTTGAAATACGTGATAGTCAACTCAATTGGCATGACTATTAATATTATTCTTGAAGGATTTAACATACCCAAAGTATAATACTAGTGATATTATCATGAGAGGGAATAAATACACTTTGTACTTTTTTCCCCTTAACTAAGGTTTTGTCGTATTGCATTTTCCTGAAAAGTTTTTTACTGGACAACTTTTGTAGTATATTCAAAAGAATAATATACAATTTTCTTCATTATGATTTTTCCCACAGGATTTTTTCTAGTAAGATTTTAATGAGGCATATTCTTTGTGTAATTAATATTCATAACCTAAAAGTCGTTTATATATATATATATAGACATATTTCATCAAAATTGCAATATTGAAGATATTGACATACAAGACAATGATGAATTAATACAAGAATTGAAATCAGATGGAGTTGTTGTACTCTTTTTCCTTCGATCAAGTTTTGTGTCAATGGGTATTCTTGACAAGGTTTCAACGAGGTAACATATTAATACTCCAATTTATTATTATTTTTTTGTTGGCATTTTTGTCTCATAAAATTTTTGTCAAATAATGTTTCAATGAGATAGTTATTGTGTAAATAGTCATTCAATAGAGTGTATTGTAAATAAAATAGTATGTAATGACTTTAAAACCCCTAAAAAGTACTCTAATCATTATGAGTGTTGTATTCCCTTGTAGACTTAATTCTTCCTTATAAATATGAGGCTTTAGTTCTTAATAAAACATAAGTCAATTGACTTTTATTCTATCTTCTTCTTTTTTCTCTCTTTTCACAATAGATATTCTTTTTTGTTCAATGAGAAAAAAATCTGTTGTAAACAAAAAAGGAAAGTTATACATATACATAATTTTTTCTTGTAACTATAATTTTTGTATTTATGTGTGCAAAAAATAATACATTTACTTTTGCGAAAATAAATTAAAATATTTGAACATGAGAAAAGGTACCGAATAAATCTAGTTATTGGAACATATTTTTTAAAATTTTGGAAAATTTGTCACTTTGATGTCATAGTCACGTCCTTAAAACGAATTCATATAAATAAAAAACTTAAACCAAAAGAATTAACTATAATAGTTATGTAAACAAAATAATTCAAAAACAAATTAAAATAAAAATAAAATAGATTAAATCTCTAGAGCATTGATTGTGAAATATTACACAATCATTCCATCATGCCTGGGAGGTTGTGGCACTTTGCCCTTTAAAGCGTCAAGGGCTAGTACCCATACAGGTTCACGCTGTTATTCCAAAGAATTTGCATGCTTATCAGCCTCTATGTGTATCTTCTACAAACTAAGTTGAAAATTTCTCAGATGTGATAATTGAGCATGGTTCACAGAGGGTAAAAAATAAATAATGCTACAACAAATAGAGAGAAAGAACTTGAAAATGGGAAATATAACTAAAAGTTACGTAGTTCGACCCTAACAATATCTAGAGGGGAGTATATAGGTATATTATATAGAATTAAAAAATTAATTAATTAGAACATGTCACCAATTAATTATCTCTAGATGATTAAGCATACAAGTTAATTTAACATATGTTTAAATACAGCAATTAATATAATCAATAATGAAAGTAGCAAGAACACACAGTATGATCACGGAGAAACCCCAATAACGTAAAAACTCCAGACACTTTATCAGTCAACAATTCACTATAAACGATTTGTAATTTACAGTCTACCAACCTAGACGACGATACATGCTATCTGATCTCCTGACTTAAATAGCTCTTTTAGATTCTGTGCCCCTATACCAATCCCAATTGCATTTTCCAAGGCTCTCTTGGATTGTACTATACTACAGCAACTCCTAACATTGTGAAATCGTTTATCTCTGTGGATCCGCTAAGAACTTTGTGTTCTTCAACGACTGGAACTTCCAGTCAACTTCTCTCGATCTTCAGCAACTCTGATAGATGTGATGGAACGAACAATTTGGTATTTGGATTACGAAATTGATGTTTTTCTCACCAAAAAAATTCACAAGATGAACGTTGAAAGTAGGAATACGATGGTATTTTCTCCGATGAAGCTCTCTCAATGATCAACCTTCTTTTTCATGTTTAGATATGTTTTGGTATTTATAGGTAAGTTAGAATAGTAATGGGTCAAGGAAAAAGCCTTTAAATCGTGAAATAAAAATATTTTGGACAACCATGTCGCTTGAGTGAGAGCTCAGCGACAATCGAGAGTTGGAGGTTCTATTTTTGACACTCGAGCCAATCTATGGTGACAGTGAAGCTAAAATCCACGTCGTATTTTCGTTCTTTTGCCATACTAGAACCCTAGACCTAATAAACCTATTTTCACATAATAGCACATTACTACTTGACTTTTTACATCATTTACAATTAAGTCCCTTTTTTTGTTTACAGAATTGTCGATAACATAATTAAACCTAACAATAACAATGGACTATTAAGCCACTACAAAAAATAATCGATTTCGCAACAAAAAAATGTGATCGCAAAAATTGGGATTTTGTTGCAAAAGTAATTTTGTGACAAGTTAGTTTGTCGCAACGAATATTCCAATAAAGTTTTTGCAAGAAAAATGTTTGCCGTGAAGATTATATTAAAGGTATAACTTTAGTTACCTATTCTATTTTGTAACAAGTCAAGAACACATGCTCGTAGTTATATATATCTTTAATAACAAGTCATTTTTGTCACGGAATATGATTTACAATGTGTTTGAAATGTTTCATAATATATATTTTAAGACAACATTTGTTGTAAAATTTATTACGTAACAAGTGATGTTTGTAATTAAATTTATTTCTCAACACAAAAGAGTTTGTCGCGTCATTATTTGTGCAACAATACAGTCATTTTCTAATTTATTTCGTGATTATTTATCTTTGTCATGTATTTTATTTTACAACACATAAAATTATTGCGCAAATTATATCATTTACTTGATTTTTTCTCACTCTAAAATAGCCAACCATATATCTGAAATCAACAAAAAGAATAAATTACAGTTTTCCTAAACATGTAGCTAGATAGCTAAATGTTAGGATACTATAAACAAAATCTGCTGCCTTCGTCGTCATCAAGCTCGACTGTTTGGGAATAATTTCTTTTTTTTTTTCTAGACTTCCCACTGTAGGTTCCACCTCCGCCCTCAATGACATACACAGTATCCATGCCTTCAATGACTTTACCAAAAACAACATGCTCAATGTCCAGTCTGTGCAATTATCTTAGTAGTGAGGAGAAGTTGCCGAGAGCATATTGAACTAAGTTTAGAAGTTACTTTTGTCAATAGTACGAATTACTGCAAAAAGAAGTGTACCAGCTGGTCTTTACCATAGTAATAAAAATTGGAGAACCATTGGAATCGGTTCATGAATTCATCATAGAAACAACACCTGCAACAATTGCATGTAGCAAACTATGAGAGAGAGAGAGAGAGAGAGAGAGAGAGAGAGAGAGAGAGAGAGAGAGACTATAATACTTCGGTTATAAACAAGTCCATTGCATGAACCAAGACAAGAGATTGGTTAAAGAGAGAGACAAAGAGAAGTGGTCATAACTTTTATAGCTTAAGAAACTAAACAAAAATATCAAGTCCCTTTTTGAACTAATGTGACTCCAAGCATAGTATTCATGAGGCAAAATAACTTGACACTCTACTTATTACCTTCAGCATTTATAATATCACTGGTGATAGCATTCCCAGCTTGTGCCAAAGAGACCAACTACACGTTATAATGCAAAGATAGATCAGATTTGAAATAATGTTCATTATTGCAGAACACCAGTCAATGAAAGATATCAACCTGCATTGTGGTGATAAACTCTTCCCAAGAACCATTAATAGATGATAATGAGAATATGGTTGAAGAAGGTTATAAAAATGATAATAAATTTTTTCAACGAAGTGCGAAAATCCAAAATATGGGCACAGGAAATTTGGTGTGTGTTTGAGAATTGAATATATTTTCAGTTCAAAAATCAAGAATTATGAAATAGCATGCTCACTTTGAAATTATACTGAAAGCATCCAAATAACTCTGTAATACTCCACTTCATATTAAAAGCATCTACTTCACATCTCAGTCACTATCATTACCATTCAAAATGCGTTTACCTGAGGCCCTGGAGAAATGGAGTTATGAACTAAAGCAAAACTGCTGCCAAGACATGTTGAAATTATAGAGATGACTGATGAATAGGTATTAAGACACATGAATAAATCTACAAATCACATATTTCCATTAATTTATCATTTGTTGACTGTAATCACATTCTACTAATCTTTCAATTAATTCATGACATCATATCAAAATATGGAACATAAAGCCTTGAAATGTTGGAGAATTAGGGCAGAAACCAGAAGAATTAGGGCAGAAAGAAATGCAATCAGAGATTACCAATCGGCCTCCGATTTGGGATTGTGGAAGCTCACTGTATGATTCCTTTGACAAGAAAGCATTTGAAAAACTACCCGATTCTGCCATAAATTCGAGAACACTCTCGATGCCGTATTTATCCGATCGCCACCTTCGACTGTCGCCACAAATTCTGTACAAAAAAACTTCGAAATTATCGTGGTCTTTCATAAGCTACTCCAATCTGTTTTCAGGCCAAAGCAGAATAAATCAGGCACGGGATTTTAAGTTGCTTATGATACATCCAGTACAGAATAAATCGGCCAAGCCCTCACTGCCACTACAGACTAAGCCCGATGCCTGTCACCGCCGCAGAAGCCTTCGTACATCCCTACGGCAACCAAGTTCCAAAAGTGTCACTTACCGCGACCATCGGGACTTGTGAGAAAGAGAATTGGGACTCAAAGAAAGAGAAGGAGAGGAGAGGAAGAGGAAGACGGTTGAAAGCATATCATTCTTGCCATAACTGAGACGCTCTTGTTTTTATTAATTGGGTCGGGTCCGATCTAGACATCTAGGAGATGGGTTGTAAAATTTTGGTTAGGGGGTTTGACAGAAGCAATTTCACTGTGATAGAATTTTTTCGCTACAGTAGATGAATGTTGCTATAAGACGAGGTTTTAATAATGTTCATTGAACGTTGCAAAAAAATGAAAAAATAAAGACAAATATGTAAACTTTTAGC